GAAACTACAGTAATAAAGACAACAAAATAGGCCTATACAAAAGATTTCCACAGTTATAACTCAATCCAGTAATCAAGAATTGAAAAAAAATAAATTACCATTCTGATAAACAAATCCCTACCTCAAGCTGTTCATGCAACCGCTTCTGGACTTCCATCTGTAGTCGCAGGGCTTCGGTGATCTCACTACCCCTGTTACCCACAGTTAAGAACACCTTTATGATAAATGTAAACATATAGAACACAATAAAGAAGCTTTCTAGAAGCTCGAAACAAGTGGTATGTTGACATCTTCTGGAAATTAATCGGGAACTCTGTAAAAAGCAATTCTAAATGGCACAGTAAACAATCAAGCAAAATGTAAATAATTTATAAAGAAGCTGAACCTATTGCATTAACCATCTTTCTTAAACTTGATGACTGCACTCAGCATAGGAGCATCCTACTTATTCAGAAAAACAAGGTCCAAGAAACAATGAATATATCATATGGTACAAATAGAAATCTTAGATACATTACTAATGATCACTTACGTTTTCAAGTCCAGAGATGATATGTCCTCAAGAGGAGTCAATTTCTTTTCAGATGATCCTGCAAGAAATATGGTACAATCATCATTTCATCCAGATTTACCAAAAATAAGTCACTTGTATTTTTTACGGTCCAATAAAAATGCAATTGAACTTGGGATTGTAAGCATCCCACATGGGATTTGGATTAATACAACACATTTATCCACTGTCCCAAAAAAATTGCAATTGAACTTGTCAAAAGATAGGCTAACTATAGAAGATAACCAGTTTCACAGCATAAACATAGGTTTTGAGTGAATAAACACAGGGTGGAGTCTCCAAGGAAATACAGATCACAGAATGGATAAAGTCCAAGAAGCATAACAATAGCAATGAGTACATTAAATAGTATGCTAAGCTTGGCATGGCTCCTACTTCTTAGACATCTGTCTAAAACTTCCACTTAAAACCAGTAGATTCTGGGAATAATTCTTATATCCACACTGTAACTAAACATAAATCAGATGATAGGTTAGAAATAAATTAATAAAATCACAAAATGATAGAAAAGATAAAAAAGCAATCCCTACTTTAACAATGAGGAATCATCCAAAGTTTAATAATAGGCCAAATAAAGCATGTGGGAGCACAGTGTCAATGGTATGATTTAAGACATCATCACGTTGGCATCCAAACACCAAAATAAACTTCCCTTTTAATGCTTAATTAGTTCACTAAAGCACAAAGAGAGGCACCAGATACATGCTTGATTCAACAGAAGCAAAATTAGGGCAAAACAGAATGAAGTATGAAATGGAAGACACTTGTACACCTTCAGATGATTCAGGTCTGTATCTTGCTGTCCTATATTTCTGCAGTAAAAGCAATATCTCCAGTTAAAAGGACAATTCCACGTACATAAGTGTTTCTTACATGCATGCATAAATTAACATAGAAACAATTTTCAGTCATAAAAAAATGGATGTCTATTTACCTGCAAGTGGCTTTTTACATGATAAATAGTCAAGCCTTCAACTTTCATCAGCTTCAACACACCCTTGGGTGTAGCTCCTGTAAATTGAAAATAACATATCAAATGATGCTTACGCCTTAGGCAAACAATTTGTTAAGGCCAGGTGAGGAACATACTTTCACTACCACCAAGTTGGTCGACAGCCTTCACAAAAGCTTCATGCAGTTCCGGCGTCCATCGCATCCGCGGCTTGGCAGGGGCATTATTTCCTGAAGAAGTGGTGGTGAGAACACTTCGGCTTTCTCCAGATGGTGCAAGCTGCTGATGAATTTGAGGTTGCTGTGCTGGTATGCTTGTGCAAGCCTGATATGCAATCCGAAGCAAGAATAGAACACACTCATTTTTTTAAAAAAATGGTATTCAGTTATGTAGCAAAGTTATCCCAATCTTCAATTCTAGAAGTTGATGCCTACCTTTGGTTCCAGATCTGCAACATCAGTGTCAACAAGAAGCTCATTCCAATTGCTGCTCAAAACCTCACCATCAATGATTAGCTGGTCTGCCCAATCATGCCAATTATTTTGTTTACTGAAGTCCTCAGATGTCATGATGCTACAACTATTGCTTTCTAATTGACTACTTTGGACAGAGCTGCTTGCAGGAAAATCAAGAAAACCTGGCAGGGACTCCGCACACCAGGAGCCACCATTTTCTCTGGAGAAATAAACTGATGTTGTGGATTGTGCAAACCCTGACTTAGGAGATTCTGGTAATGTTGAAGCCATAGCATTAGTTGATGACTGAGACACAAAAGGAGTACTACTTGAATTCTTTTCTGGGGATGATAAAGATGGGTTATGAGGATCAGTTGAAACCCCTGAACCTGAAGGTAATGAAAAAATGTGACCAACTACTCCACCAGTGGAGGGTGCACAAGCTGCATGGACTAGAGGCCTGGTCATTTGTTCTCTTTCCATGGAAACTTGTTGAGAATCAGGCAGTTTTGGATACGTCCCTTCCAGAGATGTTGGATGCCCAACAAGGATGACAATAGTGCTCCAGACACCGCCAGGTTACTGAATGGATAAAGCAGGCTGAGCATGCATAGTTTATCCTTAAGTCAAAAAGGGGTGCCAACTTATATTAGCTAGTTGCGATAGTTCATCATATTGTTGCAAATCCAAATCCACAAAATAAAAAGCTCCAGAAAGTACCTCTGTCACTGTTTTGAGATGCTGTGCCACAGGAATTGCATAAATTTGACATAAGAACATAACACAATAAATGAGCATACAGCAAACAAAAAATTAAGGAAATTGACCAAACAAAACCTAAAGGAGATGTTATGCACTATAACCAAAAAGCAAAGGCAAATAAGAACAAAATACATAGAGGCAAAAGGTTAAGGGTTATGCCAGAAATGATGAGAAAGCCCTCGAATGGATGAGGTTCTAAATTGTGAACCAAGGACTTTAAGAGTTAGGTTAGGAGAAGAAAACAGCAGAGAGTCCAAGATCCAGCTCAGTTACACCATCTGACTCTTTCTACTATGAATAAACAATCATCATAAGCTTAAAGAGCACAGAACAAACAACATGGTGCAGAATTTAGAGTGTTGTTGCAATCCATGGGTAAGTCAACATCAAGTGAGCACACACTTGTCCATGTAATTCATTTGGTCCCTGTATGAGTACCATAAAGTCTTCCATCAACCTGGAACCCTACAATAACACCCCCCCCCCCAAAATTATAAAGTTCCTTCAAAGCATTATCAAAATATTATTTTTCTTAGTTTTTCAAATTTTCCTTATTATAGATAAATTCATCACCCCCGCTTCCCAAAAAATGATAAAATTAAGAACAGTGAAATTGGAGCCCAAAAGGATATTATCTTCCTCTTTTTTGTTCCCTTTATTTTTTAACAGAAATGCCATGGTCCTTTTGTCATCCCTATCTAACATAACTGTAGAAATATCAAGAAAAAGAAGAGTGTCCATAGGTTGGATAAGACAAAGCATCAATCAAATTGTGCAACTATTAGCCTAAACTAATCCATTTGAAGAACGTAAGCAACTTTTTCTAGAATTCTCCAGTCAACATCTTGAGACGACCAATCCCATTAGCTCCCAATACACTTCTAGCCATGAATCTAATTAACCTACTGCAAAAAGCACTATTTATTCTCAACCATAGGGAACCTTTTCATGTTTCATGATGACTACAGTTCTGTTGCCACCCCAACATGCAATATACCATGTTAAATCAAATAGGAAAGGGGCAGTAAGTGTCAAAGGAAGAGAACACATCCCCAACATATAGGAATTGGCTAGATAATTTTCCACCGTCCAACCTCGTCTAGAGCAATAACCTCAGTCAGACCAAATTCAATCACATTTGATTGAAATCCCAGATTCAATAAACCAGTTCACCATCTAAGCGCAAATATCAGATGTATCAGAAGCTCCAACAAACAACAGCAGAAAAGAAAACTCAAAAACTGACAAGATGCAACCCAAACAAATACCAGCAAAACCAAAACTTAAAATGTCACCCCATGAATTGAAAAGCTGAAAACCCAAAAAAAAAAAAAAAACAGTCATGCAAATTCACCCCAGCAAGCAAACGATTCCCTGGTACCACACAATAACCCGTGCATAGAGCAGCAAATAATGATATAAAACCAACCCATTACCCAACAAAACATCCACCAAAAACAGAGACAACTAAATTCAATTCCGACCTAATACAGCTCGAATAACATCAAACCTAAGTAAACTCCATTGAAACCGATCTAGTTAAGATTCTACCTTCAGGAAAAGCAAAATTAAGCAAAACAACAAACTGGCGCATAGAATTTTCACCTAGAACTCGATGAAGAAGTGAACCCAGAAAAGAATCGAATCGAATTGTGACAAAGAAGGGTGAGAAAATCCGTCTAGAACCACAACAGGGTGGTCTAAACTCCGTCACCGGCGAGCAATGAGAGGTGAACGGTGACGAGTGCACTTTGTCTTCACCTTGCACTTTTTAGCTCTGTCGTAAATTTGATATTAAAGGGTCCAGAATTTTTAGTTCACGCGACTCCAGTGGCGCGTGTCTTATAGTGTGTCTCGCGTGCGTCTTTGGCGTCGAGCCAGATATAAGTAATAGTGTCGTCACTATGTTCTTTGTGAAATTTTATATATTTTTATTTTATGGAAAAATTATTATGTAGTTGTATGAACTGATTTAGACTAAGAGCATTGCTACGGGCACTCGCCTCCTGCACTGCTCTTTAGACTAAATGATAATTAGGGGTTTTAGAATGAGTTTTTTCTATTTAATCTAATTATATTATTTTATGAAAAAATATATATCTCAATCTCGACTTTCAAAAAAAATAATTAAAGTATTAACTTTAAATTACAATAATTTTATTTAATTAAAATTTAAAAAATTATTTTATTAAATATTGATATATTAAAATATATAATGAATTTTTAAATTTAGATATCAACATTTAATAATATAAAATTTTATTTTATAGATCTAAGTTAAAACTCTAATTAGTTTTAAAAATTTAAACTGATATACACTAATTTTTTATTTTATAATTTAATATAATTTAAATTATAAAAAATTAAAATTTTTATTTTTATTCTTAATTATATAATAAAATAAAAGGTTTAGGAGGTGTATTCTCAGTTTTTCATAAATAATTATTAACTATTAATTTTAATTAAATAAATTAAATATTATTTTTTATTTTTAAAAAAATTTTAATTTGTATCTTAAAAATACATATTAAAAAAATCTTTTTTTTAGTACTTCGATGTTGTTATGATAATTTTTAATCCTCATAAAAGGCAATAATAGATTTATTTAAGTTGGCATTCCACGTGTCGTGACTCAATGACCACTTACTGCCTTAAAGAATAGCATGTGATTTGCACTCTCAGGTCTTGGGTTCACTACTCCCCATCAACACTTTTAACATACTAACCTCTAATTATTGTCCTTATCAAAAAAAAAAAAAAAAATTATTTAAGTTGAAAGATTATCATTGGGAATGTTTCAAATGATTAAATAATTACAATAGATTTATTAAATAATTACATTTACCATACAACAGTCACCACTCAGTCAAAGGTGGGCAAAAACCTACTTAGCCCCTCACCTTATTAAGTTTAAAGATTTTAATCCATCACCTTATACTATGGCACTTTTAACCCATTACCTTATATTATAACACTTTTAACCCATCACCTTACTAGATTTGTAAGTTTTAGCATATCATCTTATACTATTCTCAACTATTAAAATTGAAGAAAATAGTCCTTACTTTGTAACATTTTGTTAGTTCTGTTAACTGACTATTAACTTTATTAACTGATTGTTAGTTGACTATTAATTGATAAAAAACTTTTTTAACTAACAGAATTAACATAACTAACTTTATAATATTTCGTTTATTCTGTTAACTGACTAACAGTCAATATAAAATGAGAGTTATTTTCTTTAATTTTAATATGTGGGGATAAAACTTACAAATCTAGTAAGATAAGAGGTTAAAAATATTATATTATAAGATAAGGGGTTAAAACCTTCAAATTTGATAAAGTGAAGAGTTAGAGGTAGGTTTTGCTGTCAAAGGTGCACCATTTCTATAGAGCTACCATCCAGGGGAGGGATCACAACCCAATAACTCCTCAAATTCTTGGTTTCTCTCTTTCCTCCAAAACCATATGATGTTTTTTCTTTTTCTTTTTTTTTTTCAATCAGGATATATTTTTCATTCAGGATGCAATGATAAGATAAGTGAAACATCTTCATCTTCATCTCAAACATCCATCTTTAGCCACCAAACCATCGGCACCATTGATTTCCAAAGCAACAGGGTAGACTTCCATCTTACGCTCCAATTCAAAATCAAGCAGAAAGCCCGACCGATTTCCACCAAAGACAAATCCGCCTTTCCGCTCCATTGAAGTTATTCCTTAATAAAAAATATAGTTTGTATGCTGATTTGGCCTGCTTCTTGTATAGTGCTGATTCATGATTCAAGAACTACATGAGGATGTCTGTCCTGCATCCATCTATAGACCTACTACCATTAGGCCTAATTAGTGATAAACAGAACTCCAAACATACCGCAAGGCTTTGCAAAATAATTTTAACTCAATCAAGGATAATGTGCTTACAGAGACATAATTGAGTACAAAATAACATAGATGATCCTGTAGGCCGCATACAATGGTAAAAAATATGAAATTCAATCAAGGACAAGGATGGTTGAATTTGATGTCCTAAGAAAGAAATAGATATATAGAACATGGAATATTTTGCAGTAGCTTAGATCTTAGGATAGGTAATATATGGAATTGGGTAGCTTGAATGTTCTTTTTGCAGAGGGGAGACCCTTCAAGCTGCTCCATTGATCTCCAATAATGCCCCATATGCGGTACCCTTCATTCACCAGTTTTTTTCTCACCTGGGACTTGTATTGTTGCACTTCCATGAATTCATCATCAAGACCCCTTTATGAATTCAAACCACAAATTAGTTTCACTTTGATGCTCATGAGACTAGAAACAAAGAGAACAAAATGCATAATGAAATTTGATGAGTGATACATACCTTAAGAAGAGATCAGCCCATCCATGGTACCCTTCCTTGATAAGGTTATCAACAGTGGAAGATCTTAGAGTTTCTTTCCTTGAAGAGAGCAGAAAGATTTTAATCCCTTTGTCTTTAATCTCATGGAAGAGCTTGAGGGTGTGCTCAAGAGCTGGCGCCTTGCTTTCACTCATCCATGCCTCCAATAAAGTTGCATTCAGCTTTTCACCCCTAGTTGTTTTCATTTCCATCCACAACCATATGAACTATCAGTTTTTTTTTTTTGGTAAATATATGAACTATCAGTTGCATGACAATATAATTGCTGTAGAATCAATGTTCTAGCTTTACCCCCCTAATATAAGGTAACATACTAATTTGATTCTGGACATATAACTAAGGCAGATTCTTCCGTAGAAACTGGAATAATGCCTAGTGATTGATCTAAAAACAACCAATGTAACCCAAAAACCCAAATGTTCTTCATTTTCAGTACCTATTTCTACTACATCTTCAATTCCAGAAAAAGAATGGTCCTAATCCAATGGATAGTTTTTTGCAATCTGGACTATTAAAACACATTTTTGTTCTACAAATATAGAATCTTAATGGTTTTGATAAAAGCTTCACTGGATTATTTTTTCTTTTGTGATACATAGAGACTAGGGATTGAACCCTCAACTAACTTTACTACATGATTAATGGTTCAAAAAAAAAAAAACACTGGATTGGCTTGGATTCTCAAGATCCATAAATCAATGCTCTGTAATCCATGCTCAGACGAATAAGAGTGTTTAGATGGACTAGTTGAACAGCTAATCCAAACACATAACCATAGACTGTTAAATGAACAAACTTAGTTCCTTTGCAGCCGCTAAGCACACTAACTCAAGTACAAAAATTATTTGGGTCCAAAATGCATCCTCAAAAGTAGATCAACCCCCTACCAACTATGATTTTTACGAATCTGGACATGGGATCATTTCCAAAAACCAACTAAAGGTAAATTCTAACAAAGAACAGTTTAAGAATCCTGCTTGAATTTGAAGTCTCTAGTCACTAAAACACATGAACTTACCCGAACCCATTTTTCTTGTAGTAAGGTATGGTGGAAAGCAACGTATCATCAACGTCGAAAATCCAAGCATCTTTCCCATCTCCTTTCAAGGAGCAACAGCTGCTGAGGTAGACGATGACTTCCTCCACAGCCCGATGGGAATCGGCAACGTACTGAGAAGAAGTCATGTACTTTCTGATATAATCGACACATTCTTGGGGCACCACATCGAACTCCCTGATATTGTTCAGCTCAACATTGATCCTCCAGCTCTCGCAGTAGCTCTTCAAGGTATCTCCATTATGGCTTCCCCTCCACTCGTTCAGAATGTTCCAGTCGGCGGCCGCTGGGCCAATGACGAGGGTTGCCAATGCCAGGAGGAGGAATGCGGCTGCTGTTCTCGCCATTGCAGCAGAGATAGGAGAGAGGGCAGTCGGTTGCGTTGGGAACTTGGGCTGGTGGAGCAGGGCAAAGCAGAGCACATAAATCGGGGCTGATGGGAGGTGGGCCACCTGGGGAAATCAACGATCGGCATGCTGAGATGCTCCGGAGTTTGGATCAATCACATGGGTTGATAGGATATTAATGGTGATTGATGAATGCGTGGACAAATCGGCAG